TGGGCTGAAATCACCTTGATGGCATGTGAACAATAACACGAATTGTTCAATGAGACTAAAAATAGAGCAAGTTAAGAATGGATTCAAAGGGAGAAACAAAGGATGGGTTGTCACATTTTCAATCTAACTCTATCGGCAATAACTCACTTTCCGGTGTACACTGTCTGTGGGCAGGGCTTTCCCCTGGTGGCCTGGTGGGGTGTGAGTTGGACTGCGACCCACACGGCCAGCAGTTCAAAACTACCAGCCGCTCCTCAGGAGAAAGATGAGACTTTCTAGCCCAGGAAAGCGGTCCAGTCTCAGAAACCCACGGGACCAGTTCTACCCTGCCCTCCAGGGTCGCTGGCAGTCCACGTGGACCGGATGGCCTTGAGAGTTGAATCCGTGGTCCGCGGGCGGCGTGAGCCCTGTGGGATCTCTGCCAGTGGATTTTGGTAGACCCGGTTCCCGTTCTTTCCCGCTGGGCCCCATTGGTACCAAGAGCTGTCAGCAGACCCTCCCTTGCTGGGGGAAACCGAGCCCCTCGTGGTCTCACGCGACGTTCCTGCTCTCCATTCCGCTGGCATCTAGATCGCTGGCCCCTGTCCTGAGCCATGGAGCCTGGCGTGGATGACTTCCAGCTTGTGCCCAACACCACGAAGGAGCCCCCTGCCAAGGACGCCGTCTGCGGCCGCGCCACCGTCACCACAGCGGTGGTCACTGGCGTCCTCCTGGTCTCCCTGGGCGCCCTCCTGGGTAAGTGTCCACGAGCCAGAGACTCCGCCGGGCACCTCTGTGGTGTGTGCGGGCCTCACTCGGAATTAAAAGGTGGGGGTGGCAGTCAAGGGTGGGGTTGGAGGCTGACCTCCAGGCGGTGGGGGACCGGAGCTAACCAGGTGGTAACACCCCTAGGTGGGTGGCTGGTGGCTGCTGGGTTTCCTGGGGGAGGGGGGCGTCACGCTAATGAAATTTATTCTCTTGAGTCTCTGGAGGCCACGTGTCCCCAGTTCAGGGTGTCAGCTGGGCCTGTGTCCTCTTCGAAGGCTCTGGAGAAGGGTCCTTTCTTGTTCTTTCCAGTTTTGGGGGGCCCCAGGCATTCTTAGGCCGGTGGCTGCATCTCTCCAATCCCTGCTCCCACCATCACATGGCTGCCTTCCCTGTAGCTCTCTTTCTCTCCTTTCTTCTTCTAAGACCACCAGTCGGACCCACCCAGCCCTGCTCCATCCATTGTGACGCCATGCTCTGGATTAACATCTGAAAAGACGCTGTTTCCAAACAAGGCTGTGCCCACA